AGCTTACTTCTGCTTCAGATACTGCCAAGCATGTAAATAAGTTCTTCACTGCTTCCAGCTTAGATAGTAGGGATGTGATGTCAGGTACTTCTTTAAGTCTTGAAATGTTTCATCTCACTCATTATCTTGTTGCACCTTCTTGATTGTCTCAAAAAAGGTTTACATCGGGACGGTGGATCACAATGGGAAACAATTGAGTGTGGCTACTCGCCTGGTCAAACCTTGATACTTCTTTCAAAGTAGTGAGGGACTTCATATCCAAGATTGCTCGTCGGCCTCATATGTGCATTTAGCGGGGTTGGACTTCGTCTTGTACTCATTGAGGATGTTGAACGCCTCCGCCAAGTTGTTGATGTGGTCAGATCGCTGCTTAGGGTTAAGCAAAATGTGCTCAACATCTTCTTGACCTACTTGCTGTTATTGCTATTCGGTTGAGGTAGAGTCGTTTTTCTACACCTCAGTAGCCTCTACTGGGTAGAGAACTTCTTTTTCCACTTATTCAGAACTTGTACAATGCATCATCAGGATGTGGCCTGGTTTAATTTGATCTCTCTGACTCCTTTTCCTAGGATGCGGAATTAGATTTTCTAGTAGTCGACAGAGGTTATTGCGCTTAGGTAGTCGACAGAGGTTACCGCGCTTAGTCTCACTAGCTAGTGCCGACCTAGAATCCCGTTATACGAACATAAGTCACTAACTATTATGAATGTTTATTTGAGACCATTAGAAGTGTTCACATGTCGAGTTTTACTTTGCCGATAGCAGTCAATGTGTGACCGTTGAATCCGGTGAGTACCTCTATTTGGCATATCATAGTGTTTCCAAGCCCATCTGCTGAATGACTGAAAGTTAGAATAGGTTGGCTACGCTGTCATTGTCCATCATTATTCTGTTGACCATGGCGTAGACCTATTGAACATATACAACCAGAGCATCGTCGTGTGAGAAGTCTACACTTTCGGCATCCTGCTCGATGAAGCCGACAAGGGTTCAGGGTTGACGTCGGCTGCTAGACTTGTGAGATCGATATAGCCTACTAGATCTTTGTCTTCTTGGACTTATAGGTGGCCTCCAAGTGCTCGGATTCTGCAAAGATGTTGTTCATTCGAATCATCTTGGCAGATGGTTTTTCGTCTGCATTTGCATTCCTCCTAGGCTGCGTAGCTGGTTTGTCCAGATATCTGTCACATTTACTATCCTTCACTAGCTTCTCTAGATAATCCTTCCAAGTATAGTAGTTGTCGACACTAAGACCTCGGTGGAATGTTAATATTTGGTGTGATCCAACTTGAAATGTCTCATTTCATCTATCTGGGTAGCTTGATCCAAGGTTTGCTCTTGAGGTTGCAGAGGATTTGGTTGATCGGGATTGAGAACTTGGTGTAGTTCTTGGTGGTCGGGGACCGGTCTCTGCGCTTGGCCCCTTACTTACTCTTGTCATTGGACTGCTTCTTGTCTACCTTCTTCTGGGCTACTTCTAAATCATTCCAAGGCTGCTCGGGTGGCTTGTTTGCTCGTCAAACTTCGTCCCTAAGTGCATGATTATTTACCATAGTAAATTAGTCTACCAGAGTCAAAACCTTTTCCATGATTAGTTCACCGAGTAATGGGTGGTCTGCCGGGATCATTTTTAGAAGGCTATGCTAGCAATCTAGTCGTTGCAGCTGACTATCTTTGCTTTATCTGCCTTGAACCTTTTCACGTAGTCACTGTACGACTTTTTTGGGTTTTTCTTGATGTTGAACAAGTGGTCGGACTTCTTTTTAATCGAGTGGTAGGATAAGTATTCTTTAGTGAAAACCAAAAAAAAGTTCATTGAAACTCCGGATGGACCATGGTGGCAGGGTGTAGAACCAATTATATGTTTCACCTTGTAGGTTGATGGCGAATATCTTGCACATGAGCGTGTTGTTGCTCTGATAAAGGATCATGATGCTGCGGTAGTGTTTTTTAGTGCCTCTCCAGGTCTTTGTCTCCCTTGAAAAAAATGAAGCGTGGCATGTTAAACTTACGTGGCAGCTCCATTTACTCGATCTCGTTCGTGAAGGTAATTATTTATGGTGGTGACGTTTCATCGAAGCGCTTCATCAATGGTTTTGAAACGTTGGAATTCGCACAGTCGCTCAGTTAGGAGCCTCTTTACTTCATTCTGAATTTGCCTCTACTGGGGTAGTAGGCTTTTCGGCTCGTCTATGTTGTAGTTGCGGTGCATGTGGTTCATTCTTGGCAGGCGAGCAAGTTGTTCGTGTTTGCACTAAGCGCAGGCTGCCAGTTGAACTTGAGAGCAATATTGAGTGATTGTTTCTTCCATCAGTCATGTTGCCTACTCCGATATAAGGTGGATGATGCTCATTGCGAGCTTAGTCGAGAATGAACAATTCGCCTGGAAGGTTTTCCATGTTGGTTATCGAAGTGGCCTCAACCGTGAATGTATGCTTACCTATGGGCCTAACCGGGAGTGCATGCACCTCTGTTCTCTAAGACTAGAGTCTACATTATCTGGAGGGCCTAGGCAGTATTGTACGTTGCCAGATCGCTCTGTTCGTGGTTGGTCGATGGTTACTTGCCAAGACGTCGTCTGGCCTTATCTTGTTTCAAGACACTTCGTTTGGGGCATGCTGCATTTCAGTGCACTGTAAGAGTTAATTCACCAAGGTCATTTGATGCGAGAGGGTGCTTGTCAACTTCAGGACCTATTAGGACAAGTGTTGTTCATCATTTGGAGTGGAAAAGCTTAGATGGTATGCGTCTCCTTGAGTGATGGAAGTGTAGTGGAGTTTGGGTGCTAGATTCTAGCTGGGATTGATCAAATCTGTAGTGTACATAGGCGCGGGGTTGCCTGCTGGGTACATGGGTGTTAAGCCTTTGCTAGACTTAAGACTGCTGCTGCATCAGCATTGCTTTGGACTGCGATTGCTGGTTGGGTCACAGCCTACTAGGCTGGTGCTGTTGCACCGTGGGTTTGCTGCTCTATAGCTTCTTCACCGTGGGTAGGGAAACTTTATACGCTGCTGCTAGCATAACCATGATGGGCGTCCTAGATGGTAATGGTGCAACTCTTGCCGTGGTAAGCCTCAAGGAGCGATGACGTGGAGCCATGTCGTGATCCCCATCGTCTAGTCTGTATCCTTAAACGTAGAAGGTTCCGTTCATAGTGGTTTTTGAATTTCCTGTCATCGTATCTCTTCCCCAAGGCAAGAAAATTCTATAGCAAGGTACGTGTGGGGAAATCTACGAATGAACAAAGAAAAGTAGAAATGTTGAATGCAAGTCTTTTTCTAGTGCTTGAATCAAACTCTCAATGAAAGGCCCAATTTGTCGATGCAAATTTCAGCAGTCTTCAGTCTTGACGAAAATGTACTTGCAAAACAGTCAACACCTTTGGTCAAAGACCAAAAGCCTCATGGGCCTACGATGATTGGGGGACATCATGGTTTTTCTGTATGTAGAAAAAAGGGAAGTGTTTAGGGTTTTTCTGTATGTAGAAAAGACGTCCAATTTTTGTGTGGAGAAATGAGGTGTTTATAGGGAGAACGGCCAACATTAGGGTTAGATTTGGTGAGAATATTCTCAAGATATTGTGTAAATAATATATTGGAAATAAAGGTAATTATCCTAATTAAATATAATTAAGATTACTTACTTGATAGGGTTTGTCTTCAATTGGGAGTATTAATAATATGATTTAGGGATAATCCTATTATTAAATACTTTGACTTTTCCATGGGCAGTGGAGTTCTGAGTAGTCGTAGTCTGCAGCCTGCATGTCCTAAGATGTTAAGCTATGTGTGGGATGACTGCTCATTTAATAAAGGCAATTTTGTCTTTTTAGCTAAAAGTCCACATGTCGCCTTCAAGATTTTTGGGATTATTTTTTGCTCTACAAACGATATTTTATACTAAGGGGAAATGGTGAGCTTAGTCTCACAATGAGTTAGGAATAATGTAGTTTAAATTTGCCTTTGGCGAGAATCGAACCTAAGACCTCTCACTTATAAGTGAAGAGAATTACCATTAGGCCGTGATACTAAGTAGTAGTTCAACATAAGTTTTTTTTAGTACATCGAGATATTTTTACACTAAGGGGGTAAGGAGTTCGGCTAAGCCACACAATGGGCAACCTAATTTGGTATCGAATTCGCCGTCTACGAGATTCGAACCTAAGACCTCTCACTTCCAAATGAATAGGAATACCACCATACTGTAGTAATGAGTGGCAGTTCAACATAAGTTTTAAATAGCCACTTAGTACTACGGTGTGGTATTCCTCTTTACTTGTAAGTGAAAGGTCTTAGGTTTGACTATCACTTAAGGTGAATTTGAACCACATTATTGTTAATCCATTGTGAGGCTAAGCCCACTCCTTCTCCTTCGTATATATAATATTGATTGTTGAAAAAAAAAAAACTTATGTTGAACTTTGTTATTTAAAACTACCTATCGACTTTTGATACTATTTTTAAAATCGCTAATTTTTTTGTTATTTTCTACATGTGAAAAGAATTAACTAACCATGTAGTCTTAATCCCTTGCTTCGTTCCATTCCATTGCTCGAGACTAGGGGTGGGCAAACGGGTATAGGAACTACGGGTCGGGGCGGGTAATCACGATTTGGGACGGGTACGGGTTGGTTCTAGGGAACAATCAGGTAGGGCGGGCCATGCCCTTTTCATTTACGAGGCGGGCCAAGTCCAGATACTTAGAAAAACGAGTACCCGAACCGACTCGTTTCTAATTATAATGAACAGCCAAGATTTAATGATAACCTATCATCTAATCTCAACTGTTGGTTTCAACCCTAGTTTCTACCTGAGTCCAAGGTTCCAAAATTCACTCTCTCAGTCTCAGCTGCCTCTCTATCTCCCACAATCTCTATCCCCAAACCTTCTTCTTCTTCTTCTTCTTCTTCTTCTTCCTCCTCTTCTTCAAGTTCTTAATCCCAACTGGGTTAACCAGTTCTTGATCTTTGTCTCTAGAATGTTCCAGTCCATCTTCTGAACCTATGAGAGTGTCATCTTCTCGATGCCGATGAGGTAAAGGCTTTCGTTGAAGATCGATTTTCTGATGATGTTGTAAATTCTCACGCACTCTTTGCCGTATTCGAATGCGATCATGCAATCGACAATGGATTTCAAATCAAACATCGCGACCCAAGAGATGTGGTCCACCGACTCGTCCTTCGACTCGGAATCTTGATCTAATACGCTAGTCCTAGTCGAGGCTTTGGAGGACCGGTTCGAGACTGTTTTGAGGTCTAAATACTCCCGATTGGCGAACAAAATCTGGTAACACTCTTTCTCGAGACATTTCATGACGGATTGCATGAGATTTTGAGCTCGAATGAGCTTTTCGACGCTGATGGTTTGGGAGATGAGGAAATGCTGCATGGCGATTAAGGCCTTAACGATTTCGATGTTCTCTTCCATTAGTGAGTCGGAGAAGCTGTGGCACGGCGACGAAGGCAGCATGGCGGTGGTTCTGGAGGGAGAGTTTGAAAGCGACGGAGACAAATTTGAAAGACAAAGTCCTCATTCCTTTTTGTGGTGGTTTTGAAAAAAAAAATAATAAAAAAAAAATAAAAAATAAAAAACAAAGGACCCTTGGACCCGACCCGGATCGGCCCAAGTTTGATTTGATTCCTGTAATGAAATATGATGTACCCACCTTGACCCGTCCCATTTCTTTTAAGGGAGTTTTAAAGAAAAGCTCGGAGTACTATTCACTTTAATGAAAAATCACATTTTTTACACTAAAAAGTCAAACCTGATACTATTCACTTTACACTTTATTTTGTCCTTATCGTTAAAACTCAAAGTTTTAAAACCCTTTTCATTAGTTTTCCTTTCTTTTAAACTCCGATCTGATCCGATTCCTTCAAAATTAGATTTGACCTGGTCCATGTCCAGCCCTACGCGAGACCCCTAAAGAATAAGTTGAGCCCATCTCTTAACACTTATCGAGTAATATAAGTTATATATCACCAAATAACTATAACAGGTTAAAATATTATAGGGTCCATTAAATTTTTTTGCACGTAAGAAAAGGATACTCTGAAGTCTGAAGAGAGAATTCAAAATAGAGAAGCTGGTCCATGAAGCTACAGATAGCCCAATATCGAAACCCAAGCGACCCAACGGACCTATATCCAACATGGGCAGGGGTACTATCGCCAACTGAGTTTAAAGTGACTGCGCAATACACTTCTGGAATAAAATAGAGCCGGTCAGGCGCCAGGAGAAAAACTCACGTGTATTTCCCGCCGTGTATTTTCATACATTTTTCATTGTTCTGCGTCTCTCTCTCTGATTCACCGTCGGCAAAAAAATTGGATTGTGAAAGTTGAAAGCTGGAGGTCATCGATCATCAACGCTCAACAAGCAGTAGGCTATTTACTATGCTTTTGTTTTTTAAATTTTCATTTTCTTCCATTTAGTTTCTGGTTATGAGATTTTGAACTCCGATTTTCACTTGTTTAATTTCATTGTTTGAATTTCTCACATTCTTACATTTTCCTGGTCTGGTATGGTGTGGTGTGTCATCTGATCTCTGAGATTCAGAACCTAAATCTGCAATTCATCAAGGTTGTGAGCGCCTGAAAGTTAATTTTCGGTGAATTGGGGTTTATTTCGTATCACCATCGTCTAATTCCAATGAAATACTTTACTTGGTGAATATTTACCAATTACTGATTTTTTTCGTGTTGGTTGACGAATTCGAAATTGTAGAGCCTTAGCTTTATCTTGGGTGCTACAAACTCTGTTTAATTAGGAATTTAGGATAAGAAATCATGAAGAAATAGTAAATCCCTCTTTACTTTTGTGCGTGCCTTTTACACTCCTTTAGAAACTTTGAAACCCTAAACTATGTAATAAAGTTACCCATCCATCTTGGTTCTCTGTGTATGGTCTGAAATGAATTATCATGATATTGAATTTCTTTTAGATTCATTTCACACTTTTTTTCTTCATCAGCAAAGAATATTAGCTTTCTATCTGCCTTGCCCTGCCCCTCCTCTTACGCAACTCTCTTTGTTTTTCGAACTAAATTGCTTAGTTTACTGTCCAGGTCACAGCTGCAGTTTTGCTGCTTCTTTGTTCTCAAACAATGGAGGTGGATTCACTGCAATACTTACGGGATGTAAGTACTAACATTTGAATATGTCCTAGTTATATAGCTAACGACTGAGTTTCTTTAAAATTTCCAATTAATTTTTTCGTGTTCATCATCTTATTTGGTACTTGGTGCATAATCTTTCATGAATCTCATTATATATATGCTATCATTTACTCATGATTACCATCTGTTAATTGTTAACATCTGTGTCACTGAGTTGTTCATGTTGCCATTTTGGTTTTACTTTGTTTAATAAATTATTTGCATGTTATGCATGACTGAGTTGCTCAATCTGAAAATGTTGTTTCACCTGATATGTCTTTCCCCCTTTTGCTTGATGGTTTATTGGATATACATCTTATAATATAGATAAAGGAAACAGGATGGTAGAGTGCAATTGGGATTTGCGATCCCCAAAGAATTAGAATCCTTGGAAATTTTAGTCGATATTGAAAACAAACAAAAATTATATGCTTAATCCCTCACCAAATACGTTTCAGGACCAAAAAAGCAATTGTAGGAGTTTTGGAAGCATTAATCATCCATCTAGCCAATCGAGAAAGATATCGATTGGAGTTGTGGTAGACCCATCAACCAAGAAAAAGTCTGGAGTCACCAAGGTAGGTGAACCTGTGGTGCCAAATGCAGAAAGGAGAACATCTAATTTAGGCAATACCACGGAGGAAATAAGCAAGGAGCAAGATGTCACAGCTGCCAAGAAAATAAAACAAGCTAGGGATCCAGAGCAGGTGAATTCCCCATTGATTAGTACTGCATCATTCCACGAGAAAATGCGTACTTCAGATCCCCCTCTTCATGCAAAACAGTCTTCTGATTTGCCATCTTGTAGTGGGAAGCAGTCCAAATGTGATGGAACAACGAATGCACCAGTTACAAATTCTGTTCAGTTTTTCGCAAACCAGACTTCCTTTTTCCAGTCTGACGGTAAGAAGCAGAAGAACTTTGATGGAGTTAGCTACAGAAAGAGGGGAGTGAAGGATGGATCAGTGGAACTTCAGGATTTCACATTTGTGATTGCACAGGAAGTTGTAATGATGGATAACGATTCACCAGTTGATAAAACAGATGCAACAGACAAGGAGGTGACAGTGGATAAAACAGATGCAACAGAAAGCAGGAGAACTGAAACTCTCAGAAGGAAGCTTTGGGAGATATTGGGAACTGTTTCTTCACCTGATGAGCATTCCAAATCTCAGCCTCCTGAGGTTGGTGATAGTATAAATCCACAGCCGGAATTTGATCAAATGGGTTCCACAGTTGTCAAGCCTAAGCATATACCAGAGCAAAAGTATGATGACAAGGGTGATGCATTTATCAAACCCCAGCAAAATTCAGATACTATAGAAATGGATTCTGAAAGTCCTGATAATATTGTCAGGAGACCTGTGACTCGTTCATTGAGCCGAAAGAGAGGTCCAACGAAAAAACAGCAGACAAGTACAAAAAATGGTCCATCCTCTGGTTACAAACTGAAACAGCAAGAGAACAACATATTTTCCTTCGAACAAGAATGCGATGGGAAGCTACATGGCTCTTCTGGTGGTGGATCCTCAAAGTCTATGCGGAAGAAGACAGAGGTCAAAAGTTTCAGAACTGAGTCCCATGGGATCTGCCTTCCTGAAAAGGATAAATCAACTAAGACTCAGAAAGAGATTATTAGGAGTAAGCCACAATCACCTGCCAAGCAAAATAGTTCTGTAGGCAAGAAAATAGTAGATTCTCATGGTTCTCAACATGAGAATAAAAGAGAGTATCATGAACTGGAAAAAAATATTCAAGAGCAGGAAATCTGCCAATCACCACTCAAATACAAGAAATTTAAGGCAGATTTTGTCACTCCCGCAAATAACGACTACCAGGAAGACAATGGCAATCCAAGCTTGAAGAAAGCTACTAGTCCAGAAGCAGATGATCTGAGTCCCACATTTGGAATTAAAACACCCACATCAAGTTCTTCCCCTAGCTCAATCCCAAACTCAGGCCAAATGGTAGATGCTAGTAGTCCTGCTGTAACAGAGAGGAGATTTACTGTGGGAGACATTCGAAGTTTCAGTACTTTCTGGACTCCAAAACAAGATTGTTGTGATAATGAAAAAGCAAATTCTTCTGTATCCTTTGTTATTGAATGGTTCTGATAAGATAGTTTCACAGTATACCATTCTTTGATTAGTATTTTGTTTCTGCCTTCTGTCTTTCCTTATTGAACTTCAGGATGCTGTAGAGGAACTCAAGGATTCACCATTGAGAAAAACAACACCGGATATGGAAGAAAATGCTGCAGAAGATGGCCTTCTTTCATCATCATCTGAAGAGGGGGACTTGAGGAGTTGTGGAGAAGGTTCTCCTATTATCCAAGGATGTGACTGTATGTTCACCCAGACCCTTATCTATATTGTAGGATAAATGCATTTTTAACTTAAGCATGCTTGATTGATTAAGCACCTTTAGAATACAATTGATTTTAATTGTATGATGTAGGAAGCTGCCATATGTTTCTTTCCCCCTCCCCTGCCCTGCGGAAGAATGATAGCCACTTCAGTTATCTAACTGTTCTGTAGGTTTCTTAGAAAAATATACATTCCCTCCTGAAATTAGTAATGCTGAAAAACTATATTCCAACTTTGTACAGGAGAGACTCTGCTGCCACAAAGCAACACATTTATTCATTTAAAGCTTTCAGCTACCTCACCCTCTCTTAATATGCATTAACATTTTGATGTTGCAGGGACTGAAGAAGATAACTGGATAGAGGAACCTTCAGAGCCTAATCTAGTGGATGGACTGGCTAGGTTTTCTCCTCTCTGTTCTTTGTGTTGTTATGTGTGATTTGGTGCAGTTATACTTGCTACCCGTTTGTGATTTATGTGTTGCGCATGATAATGTTTCAGGGCTGTTGAATTGTTTACATTGGAATTAGAAAAACTTAAAGCCAAAATGAAGTCAGCAACTAATAGGAAATCCTTTGAAATTTTAATGTCTGTTGCTGCGGAGGTACATATGCAGCTGCAAACCGTTGACTCTCAGATTCAAACAGACATGTAGGTACTTTCAACTGACAGGTTTGAGGTTTCTCTATTAATTTCAACAATTTCTTAGATGTTTTGGATGATTTTCAGAGGGAAGCTCACAAACCTCAGTAAATCAAAGAGAAAAGGGCTGGAATCAAGGTTTGAAGGTTGTAAAAGTTGTATTTCTGATATTTTCAGTTTATTATTATTATAATTATTATGTTTTGGATTGAGTAATTTGAATCTTATAAGTAACGAATATTAAAAATATGTTTCCATCTCCAAATACTTATGTCCTTCCACTTTTCTGTTTAAGGGTGGTTTGATCAAGCTGAACTGTACCCACTCCTGACAGATATTTATGACATATGTGAAAAGAGTTATTGTTAGATTTAAATGTATCTGGGTAATCACTTATATCATCGATCATAGTCACCCTTCCTTTAGTGTGTTCTATCATGTGATTAGTTCCTGAAAATTAATTTGCTGGCTTTTTTGTAATACTCACCTGCACTGGGTGATTTTGCAAGTTCTACTGGGGAATTTTTTCCTTTTATCCCCTAATTCATGAGTTTGTTTGTTTGGCTATAGGAATAAATGATATACCAATATCATAATAGGTTATCCCCTATGCCATGAGGTAGTTTGTTTGGCTATAGGATTATATGATATGCCAATATCATAATAGGTAACAGAACTAGCTTGTTTTAATGGTGACATGTTTTAAATTGTTTATTGTTGAGAATATGAAGTCTGGCATCAAACGTTCTAAGCCTTTCATTGTAATATGTAAATCCTAGGCCTCCCTTTCAATTGGTAACTGGTTTTGGTTGGGTGGTCCAGCTTAACATGGTATCAAAAATCAAAACAGCAATTCATCTAGTCCAATTTGGCCACATATGTTCCACATCACCACGTGTTTGTGGGGGGTGGTTTTTTTTTTTTTTTTTTTTTTTGGGGGGGGGTGTTGGGGGGGGGGGGGGGGGGTCGGGGTTTGTGTGGTTTTGAGAATAAAGAATCTCACATCAAACATTATATTGGTTTTTAGATTGGACGCTCTAGCTTTTTAACATTTAATATATTGGAAATCCCTGATCTACACTGGGTACTTTTTTTGTTGAAAATCACACTCCATATTTTCTTCTTGGAGGGAGGGCTTCATGGAAATCACAAGTATATAATCAGTTTAGCCTGCATGCACTTGGAATTGGGATTTTCTTCTCGTTGAAGCTATGCCTGAAAACCCACCTTTTTTTATGCAGAGCAACAAGAACAATTGAAAGTGATTTATGACAAGTTCAAGGAACAAGTCAATCAGCATCTTCAGGAATGCAGGAGCACACTTGAAGGGCTGGAAGTGTACCTGACAGAGTTTAAGGGAACTGTTGATAAGCAAAGTATGGCAGCTTCTCTACATTTATTATATTTGTATTGTCTTTGTGTCAATTCATTACTGAAATGTGTTTGTATAGGTGTTATATCATGTCAATCATGATTCTGCCGATAAATTATACTTTCAACAAGCTAAATAATAGATATTAAAGCCTCCTGATGATAGTTTAATATGGTGACATCTCATAGTCACAGGAGTCTTTGAATGCTGACTAGATACATTAAAGTTCCATGCATCCTATGCTTATATAGACTACATGCGTTAACACAAATCCAGCATTTATTGGGATGATAATGATGAACTAAATAAGCAGCTAGAACTCTGTTTGCGTGGCCACATTATGTTATACAGCAAAAATCATTGATGTTGAACCCAGACCGTACTGTAAAAGGCCTTTTTAGATGAGCTAAAAGTGTTTGTACTCTCATTGCAAACAAACAACATCCCAAATCCTGGTACACTCTTTTGATTCTGTTTCACTTACAGAAGCATCACACAGAAAGCTTCTCGTGCAAGTGGAAGAAGCAATTGAGGCCCAATTCAATGATGCCCAAAGAAGAATCCAAGTCACCCAAAAGGCAAGTTTTCCTTCTATCTATGTAATATTTATTATGGAGTTTCGTGCAATTATTTGCGTAATGTAGCTGTGTTGCATGTTGGTTTTGCCTTGGTTGTAAGTACATAGCTATATAGTTATAAACTTACGATAAGTTGGTGCGGCATATATTTTGTGTATATATCTAACTAGCTATTAGATCACTTCCAGCAGCATAATATACACTTTTCAGTGCGTGTCACTCAATAGACCTCGTGAGAAAAACAGGACCTACGAAATCCTCTCAATCTTGGACTCTCATCTAGCAGGGATTTATCTTCTAAATTCCCTAGAAAGAAATCCTGCAGGTGTCATTCACTGACTGGAATCATGGACTTCGTAGTTGGGTTAAGAACTTGAAGATGTTTAAAAAAATTGTCATTTTGTAATAATCAGCCTGTCATCTCATCTAGCTCTTTTTATTTGGGATAATGCGTAGGCATCTGGTATAGCTAACTTATTGTCTCACTAAATGCAGATGGCGCGTGGAAAGATGCTCCAGTTGAAACACGAACTGGCATTGTGTTTAAAAGAGGGCATTCTAAGTTGATACACAAACTGCGTACAGCTCAGCTCACCACACAGAGATTTAGAACCAGATAGCCCCAGACCCGAAGCTTGGTACGAATTATCCCATCCTCCGTTAAATGTGATTTCATGTAACGCATGAATATACACAGTTGAAGAATGAATATGATGTAGTAAAAGCATAGAGCAGGAGTACGGGAAGGAAAGCAAGAGAGACGGCCGGATTTCTTCGGTTCGTTCACAGGAAATTGAGACTAATCACCTAATACAATGACTTTCTCCTCCCTTGAAAGAGCTGGTGTTTGGTCAAAACTAGATTTGACAATTCATCTTACCTGATAGAACTCTGATTGTCAATTATAACTTCATGAAAATACTATTATAACTTTCTTATTAAAGCCAAACAAAATTAAAAGACATGGCAATTTAGTAATTACATACCACTTAAAATTTCAGTTTTTTACATGAACCTCAAATGTCATGTATTCTATTTTAAAAATAAAATGAAAAATGGAGGAGTTTTTGTCTTTAAACCCACGTCTCCCCACTTCAAAGCACCCCCTTAACCCCTTCTTCAAAGTTTCACGCCCAATTTTTTTTTTTTCCAAAGAAGTGATAAAAAGATTTTTATAACAAATAATAGACAAATTTAAATTACAAATGTGTAACATGTGCGTATATGACTAGTATAGTGTTATAAAATGCTCAAATCAAATGGTCCTTGATATTTGAGCATGGTAGTTTACCTCTTTCCTCCTACTTGTGAGTAAGATGTATGAGGTTTAAATTTTATAAATGACGAGTTCAAAACTAATTTATTAATCCACTTCTTAGCGTAAAAAGGTCGAATGAAAAAATAAAAATTGCCCCTATTAACTTAATGTGCACAAATACTTGCAAATTCTATGATAACAAAAAACATAAGTTAATTGTTTGATGTCAGCTCATTCTTCCCTCTTTATTTCCAAATCTAAACTTCTATGAATTTTACATGTTGTGCCACGTTTCACCTATTTTTTGGTTTCTCTTTGTTTTTGTTTTTTTTTATCAATTGGTCACCAAAATATAAAACAAACATTTCAAATAACATAAGGTAAGACAGAGAGAATAAGAACTTAGGCTAAATACATTACATAACAGATGTCCATATACGAGGCCTTCGTCTTCTCCACATTCGCCCTAAGTTCCTTGATACATATAAATATTTTCAAACTTTTTTTTTTCTTTACTTATCTTTTAGAAAGGGAACAATTGGTGAATTCGCTACGACAATTCATTTTTCTGGGTACCGAAAAAACTCACAGAGACATTTCAACTTGTCCTTAACCACCACCGTGTAATCTTTGAAGTATAGCATTAGTTTTAACTGTCCTTTATTATCTTCAATGCTTAGAAGCGTGAAGCTCGAGCTAGCTAATAGATAATGGACAATGGATTGGGCTAAATCATTATAAGTAAATGGGCCAAGATCACAAACTGGGAGACGGGCAACGAGACGACAGCGTAATGGAGGCCGACGACACACCATCTTCATTAGATTGGGGGTTAGAGTTGAGTTGATTATTTGAATTTGGTTGGGGTTTAGAAATTGAAATTGAAATTAAAACTGGGAAGGAAGCAGTGGACAGTCGAAAAATGGAAGAGAGCGAGAGTGAGAGAGTGAGGGAGTTGATAGGGAAAGCAGTGGGCGATTGGGACGACCAAGTGATGACGAGAGCCCGATTCAAGGCGTTTAGCGGGCAGAGATCCGATTGGGAACCCGTTTATCTCTTCTGGAGAGATTTAATCCTCTGCGTCGCTCGCCAATTGGGCGTTTTCTTCATTTCCCCCTCTCGCCTCAATACCCACTGGTTCAATCGAGGAGGCCTCGCCCCTCTCTGCCTCCCCACAGTTCTGGTATCCCTCCCTATCATCTATGCATGTTTTGGGTACTGACTAGGATTAGGAACATCAACATTTTCTTGATTTCTTGTTTGTTTGTTATTTCAGTTTGAAATGTATAATGAAGGTGAGGTTGTTCTCAGTGTGGATCTTGTGGACCCCACTGCAGGGCGTCTCTTCCAGATTTTCAGCAGACTTTCCAATTCCATGGCAATGCTCAGGACCACTCCGGAGCTTCTTATGTCCCAAGATCGTCTCATCCTTACCTCACTTTTGAAGGCATTCATTTTTCTCTTCTCCATCTCCATCGCCATCACTTTGGTTTTAACTTCTTATTCTTGGTCATTTGATAGGGGTTTTGTTGGTTGTGAATGTATAGGATAAAGCTGCTCAAGTTGTGAAGCTTTTATCTGAATGCCATTGGACTTCTTCATGCGTCATCACCATGAAGAGGTTACAGGACTTATGTGGAGGACCCGATGAAGCTTCCGCGGTCTTGTCTCACTTGGTAGCGCAAGCCAAGGCACGCTATCTCTCTCTTTCCAAGGGAGACCTCATAGAGGTAGGTAGTACGAGTACTACTTGTCATTCTTCTATCCTATTTCTTTGTAATTATGCACAATGGATTTGTTTCCTTCAGCTTTGAAAATCATTTCTCATATGATCACGTAAATTGAGATTTGTTTTGTTTGTGGCTTTCTTCTTTTGCAGGGTGTGAAACTTTCCCTTTCAGCATCTTCCCTTCCGAGTATTTCAAGTCTAGATTGTGATGTTCTGCACTTGATTTGGACAACAGAAAAGCTTCAACAGCAACTTCATGTGATTGACCAACGTTATGAAACGTAACTTTTTCTCACTCTTAATACTCTACTTTCTGACTTTCTTGTTGGAGAATCTGAGACCATCTTTTCATAGAGCTCAATCAACATACTCACTCATTTCTCAGTTAATGGCATTGTGTGACATGATGACATCTACGGTAGCTCAAATCACTTATAAACAAATGGGCTTATGTGAACTGTTACAGAGATTGCCTCTGCTGTATCATGATAATATTTATGTTATCATTACCTTGGCTCATCATTTCTTGACTTATTTGATATCTCTGGCTTGTGCCAGCTGGTTGGAAAGTTCCGTCAACATTAGTAACCATGGACAATTAGAATGGATTTGTTTTTTATAGAAATGTTGGGTGCAGAACTGTTAAAGATCTACGTTATAATTGTCGTCTTCTATGCTCCCTTGATTTATATCTGTTTTCTTATGTGGATAAAAACAAGTGTGTTTGTCCTAGTGATTGAGTGTGTTTTATTTTATGTGTAGGTCACGAAAATCAGCATTAGCTTGTTTGAAATCTGGAAACAAGAAAGCAGCGCTGAGGCATGCAAGGGAATTAAAGTTAGCCAATGAGAGTAGGGAAAAATGTGCAGCTCTCTTGAATAGAGTGGAGGAAGTCCTTGATGTTATTGCAAGTGCCGAATCAACGAAGAAGGTAATTGTAGGAGTGAAGATAATCTTATGTATTAGTGCGTAAATAATTGAAGCAATTGAATAATTTTTGAAATGGGGGAATCTTTAGTAAGCTGATCCATTTTGGCTTGTTGGCAGGTTTCTGAAGCCATTCAAATTGGAGCTCAAGCTATAAAGGAAAATAAGATTAGTGTGGAAGAAGTCCAGCATAGCTTACAAGAAATAGAGGAATGCATTGATACACAAAAGGAAATAGAAAATGTTCTAGGTAATTTCTCTTCTTGAGTTAAAATAAATTAAGCAGTGGTTGAATTGTCAGGAATGCGTTTGGTATTTAATATCGTATCTGATGTATTTGGCTTTTGCAGAAGCAACTTCCCTTTACACAGTCAATGATGAAGAAAGCATTGATGAGGAGTTGAAGAAATTAGAGCTCGATATGGGACGTGAAAACCTTCACGAACCAAACCTGAGCAGCAGGGTTAACAGCGCGGGGAAAACAGAGGCTTCAGACTCAGCTGATTCATTGATAGACTCTTTATATAATCTCAAGCTTGTAGATGATGGTCAAGCAAGGATACCAGCAGTTGAGGAGGGCACTGCTGAAACAAAGAGAAACAAGAAAACAGAGAGGTCTGAGCTTCAAACTGCCTAAGATTTCCCACATGGCAGAATCAACTGGTGAGTATTACTTTACTAATTCCTTGTACACTATTTGTACATAAGTAGTAAAAACCTTGTAATAGCCATTGTCAAGAATATCAAAATTAACCCAGTGAATGACGGATTGGGTCAATTTTGTAAATGGACGACTTTCATTTGTTCCATAGTTTCTTTGATTCTATCATTCTATGTCCTGTGACCTGCCTACTGCCTAGAGGTGCAATTTTGATTGGAACTTTTTATTCGGCCCTTCAATTCTTTTAGCTGAAAAATTCTGAATACAAAACATTTAAAAAAACTCAAAAATTGAAAATTGTGATCCGCAATAAAACTTTAAGAACGGAAATTGGGACCTTTGCTTCGGATCCAATCCCTCCAAAAATGACCCTCCTTACTCCATGTTCTTTGGGTTTTAGCAAATGCACACCTGTTCTTCCTATCCTCTAGTTTTCATTTGTTTTTATTTTTATTTTTTATCTTGGACACAACGATTAAATCACACTCAAGCAATGATAATGATTATGTATCAAACTCATAAGGTGATGAGCAGTAGAATATAAGGTCTTTGTTAGTCTGGAGGTGGAGGCGGCCTCTCGTCAACACACTTAAGGATTCTCTTCGGATCCTTTCCTCTTAATCTATCAAATCAGGGAATTCGTGTCGTTGAAATTTGATCAAACATTTATAAATAAGAGCCCATTTTAAAAGTTATAATAACTTTAGCCGTTCGATCAAATTTCAACAATACAAATTTCCTGATTTGGTGGATTAAGAGTTAAGGATCAAGAGAGGATTCTTTCCCGGGATAGGGATCATGATATATGCATGCATGGGACACGTGTAGCGTAGGAAACGGGAAACTCTCTCCACTTCGATCCGATGGGGACATAATCAGATCAGATGACCGAGCAGTAGCAGCTGTAGCCTGGAGCTGTCGTTTGCAATCAGAATTGAGAAGGCGATCGGTCAAAGCAAGGAATTGGATATGAACGATGACGAATAATCAACGGTCGGTTAACGGCAGTTATAATAATATTAAGCTGAGTGTTTTTTTTTTTTATTAAAATATAAGCTGAGTTATTTAATTAAAGAATTCTTATTAGTACTTCGAAAATTTTATTCTACATTGTCAGTAAGTGTATTTTTTATTTTAATTTTAGAAAATTTAGAATATTAAATAAGATATTTAAAGTATCAGTAATAATTTCCTTTTAACACATAAGGTTTTACTAGTTTCCCTCCCTCCAAAATTCCAAATTCATACGGTTAGGGTTTTCTTGCTCAAGAAATCATATTGAATGATAATTAAATTAGTGTTAATGGATAAATAGATACGCTGCCTTTGCCTCTGCCTCTGAAAGCAATGTAGAAATAGAATGGTGGTCATAGTTAGTAGAGATTTTTCATTATGCTCAGAACATGGAGTAGCACAATATATTTTATTATGCAAGTGGAGGGATGTTTAAAAAATAAAATTTTCTTCTATTTATAATGACTTATGATGCAATGTTTACTAAAAAATTTCCCTTGGTTAGAACTTGAGAGGGCACTTGTGGGGATGAGGTTTGACCACCGTGCCTGCCTGCCTGCCACCTGTCTCTCTGTGACTGCGAGTGGTGGTTGATGGACAAATGGGCCACAAATGGGCCAAATTTGGTATTAATTTGAGGCGGAGGAGGGAGGAGGTGTTGGACATCCATAAAACCATCCATCATTCGTACGGACCCCACAACCACTTGTTTTCTTCCATGTTAGTGAAAACGCGGACAGGTGTCTCGCGTCCTTCTCAAACGCGGTTTTGCATATTACATCACATGCCATATATCAACGACTCTTTTCAACATAAATACCCATTACCCAGCAATTTTATATGTTATCAAAAACATGGAAACATTCATTTTATAAAAAAACTCAAAAAAACGAAAATTTTATTTAAACTTACATAATCTTTTTCTACATTTAACTTAAATTTTAAAATGAATTATCTTTTTTACACTCAACTTAAACTTAAACTTACAAATCGAAACAAAATGTTATTTAACATTACGATTTAATGTTATTTTTTTTATTATATAAAATATGAAAAGAGAAAAGCAGTCGTATTTTATATAAAGAAGATTATACACAAGGGACCCAGCACCACCGTGGGAAGGAAACTTGTTTGTGGTATCGCATATGGCAAGTGCTCCAAAATTAGTAGTAGAATCGTATAAAGGGGGAGGGCATTGCAGGGATTAACTGAGTGAGACGTAAAGGTATTAGAAAAAAGAGGAAATAGGGTAAAGATGAGATGAGGACTAGGTGGGGTTGGATTATGGATATAAATATAATGATCATGGACCACACCTTTACCTTCTTCTTCTTACCATCAACCAACTCTGCTCAACTCAACGCCTCAATCATCAATTCATCTTCTTCTTCTTCTTCTTTTCACTACTACTCAACAGCTACCACCACTAGCTAGCTATCCATTCCTTAAACGCTTTACCTCGCCAGCGGCAGCGGAGGAAGAGGAAGTCCGGAGCGGAGAGTCAAGACAGACTGACACACACACACACACACACACATATATATATCAAATGGCGTCGGATGAGAGTATGACCATCCGCTCTTGCATCTCCATGCAGGAAGACGAGTATGACGACGGTGATACCGATGAGGGGTATGATCATCATTATTCCCATCCCCACAACTTGTCCAGGCTTTCCATGTGCACTCGGAGTCGGAGTTCCACCTATTACGACTATGATGACGACCAAGACATTATTATTGCTGATGAGGAGGAGGTTGCTACCTACGCCCTCGACTACTACCACCAAGGCCAACAGCATCAAGATCAAACCCATGCCCGGCAACAAGGCATGACTATGCAAATGTCACTCTTGTCCATCGAAACCCTTGACGATGGCTATGTAGACGACGAGGAGGACGACACATCCTATCACAAACGGCCCAAACAAGTCCTACCAGAAGCTGGCCTCTCATCCGACTCCGACGGGGAACCCGGATGCTACTCGCTTCCCGCAACACCCCCAAGGCGAAGGCGGACACAGGCTGCTGCTGCTGCTCCGGGCCAACTGTTCAGTTATAAACATCCCAATCCCTTTTTGGTCAAAGAGTATGCCAGCGAGAATGAAGATCAAACAGCAACGAGCCACCATCCCAAGAGGAGCAGGAGGAGGACAAGTAGGAGGAGAATCGTGAGGAACCGACACTCATGGCTATCGGCATCACCAGACAGAGGAACCCTTGCTACGAAGAAAGATGAAAATGACGAGGAGGAGGACAATACGGAGAGCATGAAAATGATGATGATGAGGATGTGCAATATTAGTAATCATCAGCAGCAGCTTGATCATTATCACAGCTTTAGCGGGGAGAGTGATCAGGGCGGCACTAGTGGTCCAGGTACAGGGGTGGTGGTCATAACCAGGCCCAAGGGAGGGAGGAGGTCCCTCTGCATGGACTTGGACGAAGTAAAGGCTTGCAGAGATCTTGGATTTGAGTTGGAGCACCACCAGATGCTGCACGAGACGCCCTCCCGTCTTTCTCGCTCCGCCTCCACCCTCGACACGAACACTACCTGCAGTAGCGGTGCCAACTCCCCCATTGCTAACTGGCGCATCTCCAGCCCTGGTATGTATGCCAGACCTCGAGTTGCTTCTTTTTAAAAATTTTAGTTCTAAACTGCATCATCCCAAGTACTAAATGTCTCGCTTCAGGTGACGACCCACGGGAAGTCAAGGCTCGACTCAAGGTCTGGGCGCAGGCAGTGGCACTGGCATCCACATCACGACCAGGAAGCTGAGCTAGCTGACTCATTCACAAAAAATCGTCTATTATCTCAGTTTTGATTTCTTATAGGTATTTAGTTTACTCCTGAGTCCTGACACTTATGTTTGAGTACAGAACAGAACAATGAGGCATTTCGGGTCCGGAGGGAGAGTTCCCAGTTTGGGGATTGAACATAGTGATAGTATAGTAGTAGCCTTTCCGCTAAGCACATTTTTCTTTCTTCTGCCTTTCGGGTACATTTTCCCTGTGAGTGTCGGAATTTATGATTGACGCTCCTTCATCTGTATCGAGTTCACTATCTTTCGTTCGTACCTCTGCAGCTTCTCCACATTGTAAATACGACACGATCAATGATTGTCTCATCATGGTAGACTTAGAAACACGCTTGATTATGTTTATCGTGTATGAAAGATTTGGAAGTTTCAGTTTCCAATTGGATATTGGTTTGATTAAGTGTATATCCTAAATAGGTTTGGCATCGATATTGTATTAGTTATGCAACATGTATCCAAAAATTTTCTCCTCTCTGCATAGTCCTATTATTGTCCAAAAATGTTGTGCTACCAAAACTGGTCGAAAGCTCTTAAACAAGATTGACTAAACTAAAACAGAGACAGACGAAGAAACAACGCCATACTTATTTGGGTGAAACTCTGGGTCCAGGAGATAAAATTGAGGTAAAGTTTTTAGCCCTAGCTTTCTCTCTCTAAATCAAACTGCGTTAACAATTAATGGCCGCAGTCAGGCCTAAGGAGACAATCAATGCTGGAGGGTTTGTCCCAGCGAGCTAGTAAATTAAAACCTACCTCGTGATATTAAAGAAACAAATAGAAGGCGAAAATTGCAGTCTCTGCCCACAGAGAGACAGAGATACCACCTATCATCACTGGGCATACTGAAACCACATGATGCATCTGGAACAAATTATGGGCACCATCAAGACACTTAGCAGATTTAGCACGGTAAAGGACAATCTTGTGGACTGAGAATATGTCACGGACGAAGATAAATCCTCGCTGCATGGTAGAAGAATCATTTCAGTCTCTCAAAATTGAAATCGAGAGAAGAATTTCGGTAAGGTTATAGAAATCTGAGAAGAGAAGGCATCTGCTCATTTGGATGCTGAATTTACTCCTATGTTGCTAACAAGTTGAAAACTTGTACACCGAATAAACACATGAACAACTATCGAAACCAACACCTTCCCAACTCAAGGACGTAGGCACTCGTTCAAACCTCTCCATTTTATTGGCCAGTGCCTCACCACAAGGATCTCTTGGTCACTACAAATCTAGGGTCTGTATGGTACTCTACTTGAATCCAACTTTTTAAACTCAAAAATAATTTTCAAGTTTTAAGCCTTAAAAACTTGTTTGTTAGGACTATTTTCAAAAACTGAACTCAAGACTAACTAAAAAATATAGTCTATTCTCTAAAAACATAAAAAGTAAGTTTTTAGAGTTTTTAAACTTAAACTCACTCTTTTCTTTTCCCTCCCTCCTCTCCTCCCACTCCAAATCTATCTCTCTATCTTTTCTTCTTTCTCTCTTCTCTTTTTTTTTTTTTTTTAATCTTTTTTGTCTCTCCTCTAATCCGCTCTCTTCATTCTCTCGGTTCTTTCTCTCACTCCACGTCCTCTCTATCTCGTCCGATCATCTCTCTTCTTTCTCTTTCCTTCAATCATCTATTACTTTCTTTTCTCCTCTCTCATGTTTCTCCCTCTCCTGCGACCCTCTCTTTATAGATCTCTGTCTAGTTTAAGTTGTAAGATTTAAAATTTTTAAATCGAAAATTGTTTTCAAGAAATGTTCTTAAGAAATGTTTTGAGAAATGATAAAAAATTTCAAATAGGATACCAAACAGACCCCTAGTGATTTGTGGGCCAATTGACCTTTTGAAACAAAAGCAATTGCAACTAACTGAGCCATAAGGAGTGCACTACTTAGGAGCCATCAGATTTAAAATCATGAAAAGATTCCAAATTATATTGAGCCACCAGAATCTCTTAATGTGAGAGAAAATGAGGATGACTCCAGCAATTACAAAAACTTTCATAAAAACAAGTAGTAAGTTTATTCCAATAAATGAATAGATACAAATTCCAGAAATGGTAATGGAGTAAGCCATGAATTCTCACTCACTTGGACATAAGATTGTGGCAGGTGTTATCGCAGGGGTATGCACAGTCAATAGCTTTAACCGGCACTCTATCAAAATACCAGTCTCCAACAGACACAGCAATTGCCTGCATAAAAGAAATGTAACTTAATCCATGTCTTTCAAAAACTAATTTCATTTCATCATAAATGACTGTAGAAGCCAAATATGTCCATCTTGAGATTTCGAATGCTACATTTAATCATTCAATGAAAATTGTTTGCTACATTTTACTGCCTGTAATATGGTATTAACAGAATGCTTCTGCCATTCTCATTTAACCGAAATATTTCAAATAGATAATTACAGACACAATTTTGTGAGTTTAAGGCTGCCTCTGCCCCAGATGAGAATTCACTAAAGTAACCTTTTCTCATCTCAACCTCTTACTATGACTTCCACAACCATTTGAAAACATAGATGGGGACATACCTTGTTTTCAAGAAGAGGAGAATCATCAGCAAACCACGTATCTTGTCTCTCGGACTGGCAGTGAGCGAAGCAGGAATTTATGAATAATCCGTTTTTATTAGACTTTGAGAAATCACTAACAGCATTGAGCATTTGATTTCTGAAGTCTGCTCCATAGAAGAGAAAGAGAAGATCATTATGTGAGCCTGTTTAAGTTATGAATAATGACAATAAAACAAATAAAATCAAGATGAGCAAAAAAACCGAGAATTACCTTGGAGAAACTGGATCTGGGATGAGTTACAAAGTGCATAATTTCCTTTGCATTCGTTCCATACTCCATGAGGATCAGCCGATCGAGGGGCTAAACTAGCGTGCACCTGAAGAAAACATATACAGGACTTGGGTCAAACTATCAAAGATTTTGTTAATCATCGGGGCCATGAAATACCAGTAAGTCCTTGGCAATTGGTCTTATTAGTACTGATTGTTGTCCTAAAAGTAACAGTCATATGGTTAAAAACTACGGCTTTCAACTATGCCTCTTATAAGAAGAGCATTTTAAAAATAAAGAATAAACAATGCAGTGGCTTGACAATCCAGCAGTTGCACCAAGCAGACAGTGTTTGAGGAGGTATAGATAAATACTGTCAACCAATAACAACAGGCCCTCCAAATCGTATAATGAAAAAAAAATAAAAAGAAGATTACCTGCCATACATCATAGGCTGCATTGAGAAGAAACATGGGGGTCTTAACATTTGCAACCAAATTCTGAGGAAAAAAGCACTGAGAGAGAGAGAGAGAGAGAGAGAGAGGGAGAGAGGGAGTTAAAATTGTATTCACACACATACCATCAAATTCAATTAAACAGAGGATTACCGAAGTTGGGTCTAGATGATCGAGACAAGTCTTAGGCAGATTTTTTTGCACTTCCTAAAATTCATAACAAATATCCAACATCAGAACATGCAAAGTGACTGGAGAGTTCTATAAAAGAAGCCCATAAGATGACAATTGAAGTCCATATTGTCTGTTACTAGTCAACAAATACTAATGTCCCAAATTTGTGCTACTAAATAGTAGTAAACTTCATCTCAAATGACCAAAAGCAACTCAAACTGAAGTTGTGAACAGATAGCTGCGGTATTGCAATTAATTTGTAGGCCAGTGTGACTACTATTGTTGTGAGTCTTGTGACAAACTCACAAGCAATACATAGAAAAAGCTAGACTAATTTAGAAAGAAATTTACAATTATAATACAAGCTCTGTCCTTCAAAGGGTCAGACCCAGAACTAAACCTAGGTTCTTAATTTAAAATTGGAGGTTAGTCAACCATGAAAGCAGAGACTGAAGAACCCTACCTGCAAGCTAACTACATCTGCATAAAAATTCCTTAATGTGTGCCCACCAGATACATCAGTTCTGCAAAATAAAACAAAAACAATCACTGGAACCTCAACTGAAGAATGCAAATTGATAGAAGTTATAGAAGATCAGCTCATTACGCATCAAGGAACATTCCAGCATCACTTAGACATTTCACCGTGGTAGTTTCTGGAAACATGTCCCGGAACTCATCACAGTGTAGTATGGATGCCAGACCCCCAGCAGAGCATCCAGAAAGAAAAGCCTGAAACACAATTTATTGAATAGAAAGTAAAAATATCGAAGCTGACTCCCATTACTAAAAGCAAGCTCAATGCAAAACCTTGTCAGCTTTCTGCATTCCCTTCGACATTAACTCATCCATGGCAGCCAACCATATCCTTTGCCCTCGAAATTGAAGTTGTGCAGCCTGAAAAGGAGAAATTAGAAAATTCAATAAAATTTACAATCAAAAGCTTTTAGTTCTCAAAATAATGAACTATGCAGTCCTCGTGCGTTAATTAAAAATGCTCATTCATCGATGTAGATATTATCTCTAGTTGACCATGTTGAAAATATTAGGCCAACGATGCAGTGACGGGTTGAGATTTGAATTAAGCGAAGCTAAAGGGTTACAAAATGGTTGTGGGTCACCAAACTAATCCAGAATTGCTAATGAAACCCCTAAAGTTGTAGCGGTTATAGGTCTTAAGTATGAAGGTGATCGATTCCAACACCAACCTCATTCTGACTGTCTCCACTGAAAGATGCCCCGTCGCAGTAACGGAGCTTGACTCTGTTCCAGTTGAAGAAATCTGCAAACATGCAACATATAAATTATCAATTAAAAATTAAGCGCGTGCAAATAATTAACCAAGACAAAGAGGGAGGAGCTGAAAATGCATTTGATTTTGAGTTGATACAATAAAAAATATATATTATAACGCATTAAGTAAGTAAGGCAGCAGCGGGAAAACAAAGCAAACCAACGAACCAGGGTTTTGTTGAGGTTTATTGCTCAATAATCCAGTGAACGGTAATTGCTTTTCCATGTACTTGGAAGAACCGCGGCGAGTGGTTTTACGGAAAACACAATTTCTGATTGTATTACACCACCCACCTCCCTCCAACTGAATCAGCCAGCTATTTGCACCCGATCCATACCCACCATGAAGATGGTAACCAGGCAATGTGCCATCCAAACAGACTGCCATTTAAGTATCAACTATTCATTTAATAATTAACAATGGGTTTAATTTAATTTTATTTAATCAATAGGTTATTAGTTAATAAATAAACGTTGAGTTGAATCAATTCAAAAGAGACGACACGAACCAGCTCCTTTGGAAGCCGCAGAGTCGATAAGAGTGAGGCCAACCATGAGCTCAGGCGCCGCCGCTGCTGCCGCCGCATCCTCCTCGTCGGCAAACTGAAACTCTAACGAAGATGGATGTTTCTCATATTTCTGGGATCCGTTCGCATCCGCAGCCGCCAATGCCACCGTCACCAACCACAACCACCACCACACAACATGCTTCATTCTTCCTCGATCCTCTCTGCTCTCCTCCTCCCCAAGCAAGCTCTCTCTCAACTTGGAATTCTCAAACTCGTATTAGAGTTTAGAATTTAGCTCAATTTAACTAATTACGCAGAAAATAACAATCGAGTGGGTTAAGTTAATTCATTAAAGTCCAAAAAAGGAAAGAGAAAAAAACTCTCTCTTTCTATTTTTCTTCGAATATGTTCAAAAAAGCATCCGTAAAAGTGGTCATTAGTCAGTCATAACAGTGACAGTGCTTACTGCTGAGTGCGCAGAAGAGAGAGAGAGAGACAGAAAGAGAGACTCGTCTTGTCTACTTGTCTATCTAATTTTAATAATTCTCTTTTATACAGCTGTTTCCACCATGCTTTTTCTTTTGCGACCTTTGAAGAGCCACAAGGAGAGTACTAGTAGGCAGTAGGCAGTAGTCAGTAGCAGTGGAGTGGATTCCTCCCTCCTCCTCATGAATCAGAATCACTGTTAAAGCATGCTTTTATATCTAAATTCTAATAGGTTGAATGAATATACAAATAAATTCTCTCTCACAAGGCAAAACTAGAGCCTCCGCCACGACATATCAATCGACCCCGAAGTTTGAACACTTCGTCCTCCCCCAGTTATTAAATGTTTAAATTGAGTAAATTGTTGCAATGGTTTTTTAATTTTAACTCAATTAGAGTAATAATCTCTCAATTAAAAATTCATTATCATTGATCTCTCAATTTATCAAAACATGCCACTATGATCCGTCAACTAAAAATTCATTACCATTGATCCTTCACCTTTAATTCAACTGGAGAAATGATCCTTCAACTTTAACTTGATTGTAGCAATGATCTTTTCAACATAACTCATTTTGACAAAATTGACGAAAATAAACTTAACTATATGTTTTGATGAGTTGAGGGACCAAATTGTAGAAATAATCCTTCCAACGTAACTTATTTTGACAAAATTTTTACGAAATTAACGAAAATGATCATAGCTATATATTTTGATGAGTCGAGGGTTCAATGGTAATGAATTTTTAGTTAAGAGACTATTGCTTCAATTTGATTAAAATTAAGGAACTATTGTTACAATTTACTTGTTAAAATTTAATCAAAATAATTTATGAGCCCTTTAAAAACCCATCCCACTTGACAACGTCTCCCCCTCTTCTTCGCCAAACTGATAGTGCTCATACACTTCGAGTAAGAGCTCCCTGCACGGCACAACCGCCCCAAGCTTGATGCAAGCCAAAAAGGCACCCGAAAGCTTGCGGTGAAGGCTGTACGCCTCGTCAGGTGGTGGAGTCACCCTGTGTCTCAGCATCGTTGCCCCAAGGTTTGATACACTCTGAGTGATGTTTGATGCACGGAAGTCATACCCACCAGGCTTCGCAAATGGTAATCCCACAACAAACCCGGCTTGAACATGCGTTTCTAACATTATTTCTGACTCCGTTCCTGAGATGAATCCAAGTCTCCTAGACATTTCTAGGACTGTATCACTATCACCATTTGCGCAGGCAAGAACCTGATCAGTCACATATGCAGTGCAAAGTCCTCAGCAACTTGCAGCTCGGTCTAAAACGTTTTAAACAACAAACAAACAACTAATACTCAACCACAAAACTCAGTAAAATATAGAGAGTAAGGAGATTTCACCATTCTTAGATAATCATCAACAAAACTCTTTGGGTAATCCCTAGCTGCTCCAAAGTCGATCAGATTGATTGATTTCTTAGCCTCGTCGTACAAGAAATTACTCCAATTAGGATCAGTCTGTATTCCATAAGGCACAATTAAAGCAAGTTGAGCTGCAAGCCTAAAATTAGGAAGAATGCATGACTTACAAAATCTCAGAATGTTGATTCCTATACGCATAGCATAGAAAAAAAATATCAGACAAACCATACAATAAAGTTCACATGATGAATAACGCTGGATCAGTTGTCCAGCAAAATGGATATCCCTGAATTTTGATATGTCAAACGAACTAAATATCTTTCATACATAGGAACTGGACTAGACCATAGGTCTTGCTTAACTTGACCCCCACCCACGGCATTTAGCTACCTTAAATCTGCGGCTGGAGATTAAAACTCAGCATATGTGCTAGCTTCTAAACTGGGGCCCATCACCAAACCCTACAATCTTTAGGGGCAGAAAGCACTAGCAATTTCTGCATGAGTACTTTCAGGTTTCAAACCCAAGACCACATAGGGCAAACCTAAGTGCCTCAACCACTCCCATTGAGCCTCCATTGGTTCCTCTACTTATTTCTTTTTCCAATGTAAGCACTCATAAATCATTGCTATCCTATTCTTTCTCCTAAAGCTCGTCTTTCTTAAAATTTCTTCCATCTTCAGCCCACCATAATCATAGGGACACTTACTTTGTGTTGTGCACTTGTGCTACACCAACTTTACATTAAACTACTGGCTACTGCCGCTAAAAAATATTGTTACCGTGTCCCTTACAAATAAACTTGGTGGGATTGCTTGTAGAAGACATACTTTAAGTTGACTAGCAAAATGAAAAAAAAAACTTCGATGGATGGAAAAATACTAAGATATCAACTTCATTGTTGAGAGCAAGTTATTCTTAAGGTTGTGCAAAGTGAATGCTTATAAAAATAACGTAAGAAAAGCAAAGCAAAGATTAAAATAAATGCTTGCATTGGTGAAGAGATATAACACAGAACATGCCTGCATGAAACGAAAAACAAATAACTCCTTCAAAGTGAGCTCTAGCAACTTTCTGCCAACATAGTTGCGAGTTTCCTGGTTTAAGAGTGTCACTTTGTCAATAGGTATTCCTGCAGCAAGAGAAAGCAATATCATGTTCAAAGATATATCAAGTTATCGACATAAATTCTCTATTGATGATACAACCAATGCTACAATGAAAGCTCCATTTTAATGATAACAATAGGAAAAAACTAGAAAAGACAGCTAAGTTAAGTGATATATACGACAGAAAAAAATATCATTAGAGCTGGTTAATTATTTTTAATCATTACCATTTTATGCTTTCTTCAAATTGCAGCAATGCAACTTTCAACGTATAAAATTCTGAATCCGTGTAACTTAAGATTGAAAGGAAATCTCTAACCAAAAACAAAAGGGTCTAAGGAAATGTTGCAACTCATTTCCAGAAGTTATAAGCAGTCCTTAATTACATTCATTTATGATAGAAGATGACTTGTGCATATGGAGCATGAAAAGAATATGACATCATCCAATTAGTAGCTTGCTTTTCAATATCATCCCTTGATTCATAAGCTTAGTTAGTTACACACACAATTTTGATAGAAATTCCAATTGCTGCACTAGTAGAAAATAAAAGGTGGTCTCTCGACCAGTATTTGTGTGCCCACAACATGTTGTACAGTTCAATATTACAAAACAAATCTTGAAATAAACACCGCTTCTTCAAGTAAGTGTGTTTGAAGATTAACTAATCAGCTTTGGATTTTGTCCATGAGAAAGTCCCGAAACAAAGCAAAACATGTTGGGAATCAGTTCTTTAAATTCTCATCATTGAGAAATCACCCCAAGCAACAACATAAATTTTTCAGGGTAAAAATCATTATATCATAGTTTAAACAATGTAATAGCATAAATGGCATAGTTTACTTGCCGGAAACAAGCTCTGTAGTTAAGACTCTTTTGCTCGATATATCATCCACTACCAATGGAACATAAAATCCTTGTGCATTGGATAGCAAGTCACGAAACCTTTTTTGACTTTGTGCCTCCAACACATAGTCGCATTCACGGGATAATTCTTCTTTTGCCACCTAAAAAGGATTCCAAGGAAGAATATAAGCATGCATTTTGAAAATTTTAAGATATCTCATCATCTTCTGAGTTTGAAATCATCCTCCACAATTCCATGTCATCCCGATACATTCCACATGGAATCAAGTTCTGAAGTCATGAGCATAAGGGAATGATCAATGAGGATTAGATACACATCCACACTAAAGAAAGAGTAGTATAATGGCCAAATTTGTAAGTGAAGCAATTAGTAAAATTAGGCTCACCTATAATATTCCTAATATACAATGTAAGTCATACAGATGCAATAACCAAAGGCATACAAAATAAAAATACCTTCATAGCTCTTTCAAGATAAAGTCCCTTGGGGATTAGATTTGTATAATCTAGAAGAAGTTTGACGTTGTCAATGTCACTTTCAATGCTATCAGCAACACCAGGGTACTGAATTTTCATTGCAACATCCATACCATCCTTTGTGACAGCTCGATGAACCTAAAAATGCTATAGATTGTAAGACAAACTGTCTGAACAATGTAAAATACATGACAAATTTTATTACAGAAATCTATCAAAAGATGCAGAAGTTCATGTTGGATTATGATCGTGCTCTTAGGCACAAAGTTGGCATTACAAGTACATTGATGGCCATCATGAAAAGTCTTTAGAGTATGTGGTTAATTTTCTAATACACGGCAATTTGGATGCCCCAGAGGTTGTACATATATAGTGGGTAGGTGTGCGTGCTTAAGTGTCTGTAACAGGTAACAATTAACAAGCAACAAGAAACAAGCAGTACTGTATCTGTCACTGTCACCTGGCCTATACTTGCAGATGCCAAGGGTTCATAATCAAAACTAAAAAGCTTAGATTGCCAGTCAGGTCCTAGTTCAGCATCCAAAACTTGATTAAGCTGTTTCCTGGGCATGACGTCTGCACCTTGACGGACAATATCGAGAGCTGCCAAGATCTAGAAGAAAATGAATATAGCAAAGACATTAAGAAACTGAAAACATGCAATGCAATGTGCTGTAATGCATATGAATTTTATTTAAAAAAAGAAAGAGAGAAGTAGAATGTTACGGGAGCAGGGACGAGGGATTCGTCCTGTATACTGAGCATCTGTCCCAATTTGAGGGCAGCTCCACGCATTCTACAGAGTGCGAGAGCCAAACGTTCTGCATTTTGGGGGGACAAAAATGGAGAAAGAGGAGATTGCTTGTCTGATGAGGTTGGTGTACCATAAACGAGCCTCTTGGTAGACTCCTGAATGGTTCCCCACGCGAGCCCAGCTCCGAGACCAGCAAACCTTTTTAAATCATCAATCACAATCACAAATCACATACATATTCATGATATCATTCATATGGAAAAGCAATCATTCATAAGGAAACTAAAAAAGAGAAGAGTAGAGACCCGAGTGCTCTGGAGAAGGGGGTGGAAGGAACTCGTCTCTCTCTGGGCTTCCGCCTCTGCAATGGCTGAGGTTGTGGTTCTTGTTCCACCAAATTCTCCTTCTTGGCGGAATCAAGGACCTCCATTGTGGTGGATTGATGTTCTTCTTCTTGTTGCACTGGTTGCTGCAACTGTTGTTGATTGTGTTCTTCCTGTTTATGTTCCGGCGCAGGAGCAGACGAAGGAGGAGGAGGTGGTGCTGCTGCTTCAACTTTAACTTGTTCATGTGTGAAGTATACGACGGAATCTTGGCCTCTGGTATTCGTATTGGAATTGGAGTCATTAGTACCAATGGGGTGGTTGTTGATGAATTGGGAGAGGGTGCCTTTGGTGAGGCCGGAGAGGTCGGTGGCGGACACCATGGCTTTCTTGATTAGGGCATCCAAATCGCCATTTTTGGCGCTCTGCAAAGTGGGAGATCGATTCGCCAACTCCTTGGCGATTAGAGACACCCCCTTCACCACTCTCCCTACGTCCTTCCCCCACTTTCCCCATGATACCATTGCACTCTTCTTTTTTTCTCTCTGATTGTTTCCAATTCAATTCGATTCTACACACAAAATAAAATGTATATGTGATTTGCTGCTCAAAGTTCAAACCTCGAAGCCGCCTCCAATTTAAAGTCTCAACCACCAATAGTGCAATTTCTGACCAAAAGAAAGATTAACCACCAAATATTAATATTAAGGTTCCCTGAGGTTGCGTTTGGTACGCGGGACGGGACGGAACAGAGTGGGACGAGGCGTTCCGTCCCGCGTTTGGTGCGCCTAAAATGAGTGGAACGGGCTGTTCCATGGAACAGATTTTGGATGATTTTCTGTTCCACACCCCCACCCTGGAACGGGTTGTTCCACGCCTGTGGGACAGAAATTTCCAAAATTTTAAGACAAAAATGCCCCTTGTCTTTTTCAAAATTTACATCAAAAATCATATAACAAACCCTAAAAACTATCCCTCTTCTTCTCAGCCGTCGTGTTCCTCCCTCTGCATCTTCCCTTTCCTCCTCATCTTCTTCCCTGTAGCCTCTTCACCTCTGCATCTTCCGTGTAGCAGCTCTGCGAACCTTCCTCCTCATCCTCTTCCGTAGCATCTTCAGCTCTGCATCTCGGTTCCAGGTTCGATCTGTTTTCGTGTAGCTCTCGGTCTCTCTTTCTTCGATTGTTCAAATGTTTTTTATTTGTTATCTGTTTATGTATTTGTTCTCTGTTTGTGTTTGATATTTTGTATCTAGTTCTAGAGTGCAGCAAAATACTAGTTTTTTTTGGCGATTCTCATCTGGGTCTGGTACATTTTTTTCTTTGGTTTCTGTTTCCGCTTTCAATCTGTCTTTCTGTTCTCAAATTCAATTTAGGAAATTAGGCATCTTGCAAGAGGTTCTGCAAGAACGTTGTTCCCTTCCTTATCAATTTGGAGCATGAACTAAGGAATATAATGAGGTTATTGCCCAAGAGGTTCTGCAAAAACGTTGGCTCCAGAAATCTGGGAATACCTGGTCACAGGAGGTTTTGCATTCGAAACCTCCAATCCCAATTCCCAACTTCTTTGTTCATTTTCAAGTTGTAGGTTTGTCTGCATTTCCCTAAAAAAACAAACAAACTATGTCAAATTTTGTACAGTTGTTGGCGATACTAGGCAATAGAGATTATTTATTATCAAGTGAGATCTGATACTCTCATGAAGTTCTGTTTCAACATATGCAATCAAGTAATTTGCAATAAATTTATCTCCAATCTAATCACAGAATCTTGTTTTATTCATTTTCATACATATTCTTATTTTGATTGGGTTCACTTTTGGAGGTATTGCAAGCTAGACATCTTTTACTTGTTTTCTCCGGCTTGAAGAGGATTGTAAGAAGTGTTTTTATTACTGTCTGAGATCCACAACTTGTGTTTGTAACTAGTTTATTTTCGTCTTTGAAAAGCATCTATATAAATGTCATAGAAGTGTTGGATGCCTAGCTTTAGGAGAGCATCCTTCTCCACATTCTCAAAGGTTCAAAATTGATAGCCTAGAAAGATAGCCTGCTGGTGAACACTTTCCTGTAATCCAGGTATGTATTACTCTGCCAAGTAATCCTAGACTATCTTGCGAAGCATGAAAACAATGTGCAAAGAGGCTAGTATCCAAGAAAGGATGGACTTGAATAGGTGATTACTTAAATACATATCAATCTGCAATTTGGTGTTTCTTGAGTGCAGTTGTTTTAAAATTATTTGCATGTGGTTTTTTATAGTTTTGCAGTTTGGATATAAACTGTGTGAGTGCAGTTTGGATTAAAATGGATTTTGATTAAACTGTGTGAGTGCAGTTCTTGGTGATATAAACTGTGTGAGTGCAGTTTGGATTAAAATGAAATTTGATTAAACTGTGTGAGTGCAGTTCTTGGTGATATAAACTGTGTGAGTGCAGTTCTTGGTGATATAAACTGTGGTTTTTTATAGTTTTGCAGTTTGGATATAAACTCTGTGAGTGCAGTGGTAAAGAACAATGGTTCATTCTAAATGTCAATGGACTAATCCATCTGATGCATTTTGTTTTCCAGATTCGGGAAACCGTCCCTTTCAGATTTTTGGCCAAATATGGACTCAATGGAGGGATGATCTTGCAAGAGAAATATATGATGAGTGGAGAGGAAGGAGGGCTTGAAAATTGGTTAACATGGTAGTTGTTGTAATTGTCTTTTAGATGTGGACTCAATGTAGTTGTTGTAATTGGCTTGAAAATTCGTAACATCAAGACTATTGAGATGTTTGTTATTGTAATATGGTAATTGGGAGTTATCTAGATATTATGGCTTATTTGATATGTTTATTTGGCTTATTCGAATGAAGGTGTAGAAAACGGGAAAAATTACAAATTTTAAAGGGGTTTGCATGTGAAACACAACATATACCTATTAAAATTTGGACCAAGAAAAACAAATAATGGATAATAGTGTTCAAATTTGAACAACTTATTTAAAAAAAAAAAAAAAAAGAGTTCTGTCCTGTTCCGCCCATAAAATTGTACCAAACAAGGGACGGAACATGGGTATTTTAGTCATTTTAATCTTTTGGTTCCGTTCCGTCCATGTGCTACCAAACACAGGATGGAACAACCATCTTGTTCCGTCCTGCGCGTACCAAACATAACACATAACATCTGTTCCGTCCCGTCCCGTCCTGTCCCGTCCCGTCCCGTCCCGTCCCGTCCCGTCTGCGTACCAAACGCTACCTGAGAGTCTGAGACTGAGTCGTGTGTTCTTCCGACCCGCAGACACCACTTTTGTACTTTTTGACCCACCCCAAACTGCCCAGAATAACTTCATCTTTGGACCACTAAGTCCATAGTTTTTTTCTAAGGCCCAACTAAACAATTCTGTACTGGGTTTAGCAACCCCAAATGTCAAGTTCTGCTGTAGTTTGAGCTCCTTTAGTTGTGACTTAATTCTTAAATATTTCCTTATTCATTTAATATATTACTAGCCTTCGTACAAGCGCGTCTATTTTTGAATCACGGCATGCTACTCATGACTTACACATTAAAAATATTTATATGCATGAATTGCTTCAGTATTTTTTTTATGACAAAAAGAAAGTCAACTAAATGAATAATATTAGACCATACTAGAAGAAACTCCTCATAAACCAATCAAATCAGCTGAATCCACATAACAAAATCGGTCTTTCAATTTCCATTTACATTCTATTGAATTTACAATAAAAATAGAAAAAATAATATTTGATAAGCAACTGATTGAATCACATTATTGCTAGCCCATTGTGAAACTAAACCTACCCCCTCCCCCTCAGTCTAGATTATATCCTTTATTAAAAAAAAATCATTTGACAATTAAGTGAATCACATTATTATGGGTATGCGAAAGACCTTTTTTATAGTCGGCAGTATGCGCCTCTTAAGTATTTAAAAATAGAGAAAATAATATTTAATAATGATAAATTAGGTTCTCATCTCTCATTTCTCCATCTAATTAATTGAAACCTTATTCCTTTTTCATTTTTGATCAAGGTCCCATGACTTTTCTTCATGTCATTATTTGAATATTAAATTATTTAATTACAAGTCTTTAAATTAGTACTAGGTTGATTAAACCTTATTCATTTTTTATTTTTTCTCTTCACTTAGAAGTGAGAGGTTTTAGGTTTGAATCTCGTAGATGACAAATTCAATACCAAATTAGGCTGCCCATTGTATGGCTTAGCCGAACTTCCACTCCCCCTAATGTAAAAATATCGATGTACTAAAAAAAATGTTAATCTGTGTTTATTTTATGTTTTAAAATATATCAAAAGTTATTTCTTGCACTACATTAATAATTACGTGAGTACATTTTTTTTGCTAGAACTATGAGAAAATTAAATTACTCTATTATTGATTTTTTAAGTAATTGTTGTAACATCCCACATCGCCCAGGGGACTGATCCTTAAATGTATATTCCCATCCTACCTAGCACGAGGCCTTTTGGGAGCTCACTGGCTTCGGGTTCCATGGGAACTCTGAAGTTAAGCGAGTAGCGCGCGAGAGCACTCCCATGATGGGTGACCCATCGGGAAGTTCTCGTGTGAGTTCCTAGAAACAAAACCGTGAGGGCGTGGTCGGGGCCCAAAGCGGACAATATCGTGCTACGATGGTGGAGCGGGCCCAGGAAGTGGTCCCACCCGGGCCGGGATGTGACATTGGTATCAGAGCCTATCCCTGGCTGGAAATGTGCCGACAAGGACGTCGGGCCCCTAAGGGGGTGCATTGTAACATCCCACATCGCCCAGGGGACTGATCCTTAAATGTATATTCCCATCCTACCTAGCACGAGGCCTTTTGGGAGCTCACTGGCTTCGGGTTCCATGGGAACTCCGAAGTTAAGCGAGTAGCGCGCGAGAGCACTCCCAGGATGGGTGACCCATCAGGAAGTTCTCGTGTGAGTTCCCAGAAACAAAACTGTGAGGGCGTGGTCGGGGCCCAAAGCGGACAATATCGTGCTACGGTGGTGGAGCGGGCTCAGGAAGTGGTCCCACCCGGGCCGGGATGTGACAATTGTTATATTTGTAACAATATTATTTGAATTTGTTTGAATTTTATAATTTGTGGGATATTAAATGCATAAATGTATGAGTTAAATCCCTTAAATGATGTTAGGGACCTTGATTAAACTATTTAAACAAATAAGGTTTCATTCTAACAACTAGGTTGATTAGAGACCGAAACCAAAATGACCAATATCATAAACAAATGATTGAATTACATTATTGTGTGCGTGCAAAAGACATTTTTTTATCACCGGCGGTGTACACCTTTTAAGATGTTTTGAACATGTTTAAAAATAGAGAAAATAATGTTTTATAAACTAATGATTGAATCACATTATTGCTAGCACATTGTGAGGCTAAGCTCACCTCATTCCCCTTAATGTAGATAATATCGTTTGTTTAAAAAAAAAAACAATAATTTGACAACTAATTGAATCACATTGTTATGCGTGTACAAAATACCTTTTTTATAACCGGCACTACGTGCCTCTTAAGATGTTTTCAACATGTTTAAAAATAAAGAAAATAATATTTAATAAACAACTAATTGAATCACATTATTATTAGTGACACGCCCCGATCCAGATGTCCTTGGGACATCAAATGGTCACATGCTGGCCGACACCCGATGGTGACGAAAACCATTTTTTGAATGCAAATGCTGAGAATAAGAAATAAATCAGACTTATAAATTTAAAATATAATGAATATGCATTTCAGGAACGTGTTCAGAGCACATATCTAATCTAGAACACTAAAAGAATTTATATAAAAATTGAATGAATACAAGAATGGGTCCTACACCAAGAGAACTCGAAGATGCCGCTGCGGAAGTGCCTTGACGCTGGGAATGTATGCCTCGATTCTAAGTCCTGAAGGGGGTGCAAAACAAACATGAGTAGACCAAGTTGATGTAGTAATAATAATAATGATAATAATAATAATAATAATAATAATAATAATAATAATAATAATAATAATAATAATAAAACAGTTATCAACATACTAATCCCCATGTTTTATGAAAACTCATATAACATGATTAAAATAGGTTTTTCGAAACCTAGCATGCTATGCAATGTCTCAAAACATATCTCGTATATATTGTAATCATTAGTGAATGTCCAATATCCCTCTAGACCTTATGCCAGCTCCCCATCTCTTTGCAAATTGGCTAAGGAAAATCACCCTCAGGCCCTATGCTAGCTCCCCGTCCCTGTGCTAATAGCCAGAGGAAAACCATCTTCAGGCCCTATGCCAACACCGTAACCGTCACCCGGGACGGAATCTATCCATCGCCCCGTAGCAGGATAGGGACCACTAGGTAAATACAAAACCATTGAACATACATGTATTTGAAAGTCAACTTCATAGTATAAAGTCATTCATCATTTATACTATAAAAAGGTGTTCTAAACGTGTTCTAAATATTATATCATCATCCATCAGATATTCTATATAAACACGAGTTATAAGAAAAATAGTAATAATTCAAACTAGCCTCAATAAGCATGTTATCTCGTAAAACGTTTCACAAAACGTAATCATTAAATCATGCTTTTCATGTGTGCATTTGTACTGTTAAAACATGCATTTTTAGAAGACGTCCACTCACAGATACTTGGCCGCCGAAGAGCCACGCAAACTAGCAAACTCGGAATCGTCACAAATAATTGCCCCTAAGCACATAAAGTTCCAATTAATAAAACTATATTAAAACAATTGAATTTGGGAAAATGGACGCCGGAAACAGATTCAGGATGTCGAATTACCCTAAGAAGGGTCCTGGATAAATTTCGTAAAAGTCAATAGAATATTCCAGAGAATATTCCCTGATGGAATATTCTCTAACATAATATTCTCCAATGGAATATTCCCTAACGGAATATTCCCTCAAAAAGGGTTTGGGCCGATTAAGGTTTAGGGTTTGAAAAGTTAAAGGGTTTAGTGGTTAAGGCCCTAGGTTAAAAAAGTTTGGGTTAGACTTTTAAAAGGGTTGGGCTTTAAGAGTTTGGGTTTAGTTTCAAACAAATAAAATAAATAAAGAAATAAAAGGGGTTCAGGCTTTAGGGGGTCACAAGCCTAAGGCCCGAGTTCTAAATGGCCCAAAGGCCTAAGTAACAAAGGGTTAAGGGTTTAGGCTAAAAAGGTTGGGCCTAAATTCAGATTTAGGTTTGGGTTTAAAAAGGTTTTGGGTTTGGGCTTAAAAGGGCTTGGGCTCAGCAGCCCGGTCCAAAGGATTGGGCTGGGTAAAAAAGGTCTTGGGTCTAAGGTTTGTGGGTCATCGGACCTTATTGAAGAAGAAGGCCGGATTTCGACTGGAAAATTGGACAACTTTAAACGTTCATAACTTTGTCAATACTCAATGAAATCGAGTGATTCAAAAAAGGGAAGTCATAACTCTCGACCAGACGAAGAGAATGGTACCTCGTATAACATCTAACTCGTCGTGGCTTCATCGGAAAACACCTCAAAAGTCAAAGAGGTCGCCGGAAACTTGGTAAGATTCAAATGAGTATAACTTCTTCAATACTGAAAGAAATTGGGTGAAATAAAAAAGGAAAGTTGTAGTACTCAGCAAGACGAAGAGATTGATACCTTGCATGCAGGCCAACTCGTCGTGATTTGGCTGGAAATTGCCTCAAAATGGGCAGTGCTCACCAAAAAACTGGGGAAAGCTCTCCGAGTTGTTTTCATGTCCAAACCTTCACCAAAAACCACTTTTTAGCAACCACTAAGCCTTCTAGACTACTAGGGAGAAAGATGGAAGAGTGGTTCGA